ATTTTGGTTGAATGATAGTCAGAGTTTTTTTAACGGTACAACGGTAAGCCAACTTTATCACATAAATCTTCTGAGAGCACAATTCCGAAAGATTGTTTTCTTTGTAACGATTTGAACAGGTTTTGCGATGAAACATTCACAATTTTACTAAAATTGCCGAATTGCTGTTTAATTAAAACAACATTTACATACTCTGCAATAATCGTCCGGAGCAGTATACGTTCGCGACATAGTGTGATTGACATGTTTACATGCAAGCGAAGATATTTCTTTCGCCCACGATTTTCCCCAATTGCATTTTTTTTTTATTTTCCCCAAGAATTTTTTTTGGTCAATTTTAGAAAGCATTAATTATGTTATGACCGGGGCGTGTAGTCGTGAAAGCCAGGCTTTCCTGCTTTTATAACTCAGAATTCTGACTTATAGCTCGGAATTCTGACTTATAACACGGAATTCTGACTTATATATAACATGGAATTCTGACTTGCAACGCAGATTTCTGACTTATAACACGGAATTCTGACTTATAACACGGAATTCTGACTTATAACACGGAATTCTGACTTATAACACGGAATTCTGACTTATAACTCAGAATTCTGACTTATAACACGGAATTCTGACTTATAACACGGAATTCTGACTTATAACACGGAATTCTGACTTATAACACGGAATTCTGACTTATAACGCAGAATTCTGACTTATAACACGGAATTCTGACTTATAACTCGGAATTCTGACTTATAACACGGAATCCTGACTTATAACACGGAATTCTGACTTATAACGCAGAATTCTGACTTATAACACGGAATTCTGACTTATAACTCGGAATTCTGACTTATAACACGGAATTCTGACTTATAACTCGGAATTCTGACTTATAACAACGGAATTCTGACTTATAACTCAGAATTCTGACTTATAACACGGAATTCTGACTTAAAACACGGAATTTTGACTTATAACACGGAATTTCGACTTATAACTCGGAAGTTTGACTTATAACTCAGAATTCTGACTTATAATACGGAATACCGACTAGCAGGCCCAACTCGACATTCTGACAGAGATCATCAAAAATCACATGCATTTCTCCATTCTTTCAAACACAATGGCTTATCGCGACAAGTTGATTCTTCGGATATTGATATGGTTTGTGCTTGCTTTCCCATTATGTACTTGTATGGTTTCCTTTTATCTTTCTGCCTTGATGACAGGCAGTCCAGACCGTGATAGCTTAATTGTACGCTACTTTGAGCTTGGATTTTCATACAAAGAAATAATAGCGTTCCTTAGCGCCTATCATAGCATACGAATATCCTTGCATCATCTTATAAAAAGATCAATTATCTTCAAAGAGATGTTACAAAAGAAAAAATCACTGAAATATTCGTGAAGTTGTTGATGTAGTAGAAAGAGAACTAGATGGAAGTGTTGGTGAAGTTGGATACAGGCTTATGCATCAGAGATTGCTCACAAAGCATAAGCTTGTTGCATCAAGAGAGACGATAGCTGCCCTTGACCCTGAAGGAGTGAGCCAACGTTCGATGAGAAGATTTAGACGCCGTGTGTACTCTGTAAGAGGTCCAAATGATATGTGGCATATCAACGGATACGACAAGTTAAAAGCCTTTGGATTTGCTATACATGGTGCAATAGATGGATACAGCAGGCGAATTCTGTGGCTGCATGTGGGGCAATCGAATAACGACCCTCGAATAATCGCGCAGTATTTTGTAGATTACATTAGAGGCATAGGTGGTACAGCTCGTAGGATTCGTGCCGATTGCGGAACAGAAAACACCCATGTGGCACAAATACAACATTTTCTACGAAGAAATGATGTTGACAGCTTTGCGAAAGAGAAAAGTTTCATTTATGGAAAATCAGTGGCCAACCAAAGAATAGAAGCGTGGTGGTCTATTCAACGACGTTGGGGAATTAACTGGTGGATTAACTACTTTTAGTTAAAGACCTTCGCGATAGAGGTAATTTTCCGGTTATATTAGCTACTATACAAAACTGTTCAAATCCAAAGGGTTTTAACTTGTCGTATCCGTCGATATGCCACATATATGCATATCATTTGGACCTCTTACAGAGAACACACGGCGTCTACATCTTCTCATCGAACGTTGGCTCACTCCTTCAGGGTCTATATAGGGCAGCTATCGTCTCTCTTGATGCAACAAGCTTATGCTTTGTGAGCAATCTCTGATGCATATGCCTGTATCCAACTTCACCAACACTTCCATCTAGTTCTCTTTCTACTACATCAACAACTTCACGAATATTTGAGTGATTTTTTCTTCTGTAACATCTCTTTGAAGATAATTGATCTTTTTATAAGATGATGCAAGGATATTCGTATGCTATGATAGGCGCTAAGGAACGCTATTATTTCTTTGTATGAAAATCCAAGCTCAAAGTAGCGTACAATTAAGCTATCGTGGTCTGGACTGCCTGTTATCAAGGCAGGAAGATAAAAGGAAACCATACAAGTACATAATGGGAAAGCTAGCACAAACCATATCAATATCCGAAGAATCAACTTGTCGCGATAAGCCATTGTGTTTGAAAGAATGGAGAAATGCATGTGATTTTTGATGATCTCTGTCAGAATGTCGAGTTGGGCCTACTAGTCGGTATTCCGTGTTATAAGTCAAAATTCTGAGTTATAAGTCAAACTTCCGTGTTATAAGTCAAAATTCCGAGTTATAAGTCGAAATTCCGTGTTACAAGTCAGAATTCTGAGTTATAAGTCAAACTTCCGTGTTATAAGTCAAAATTCCGAGTTATAAGTCGAAATTCCGTGTTATAAGTCAGAATTCCGTGTTATAAGTCAGAATTCCGTGTTATAAGTCAGAGTTCTGAGTTATAAGTCAGAATTCCGTGTTATAAGTCAGAATTCTGCGTTATAAGTCAGATTTCCGTGTTATAAGTCAAAATTCCGAGTTATAAGTCGAAATTCTGTGTTATAAGTCAGAATTCCGTGTTATAAGTCAGAATTCCGAGTTATAAGTCAGAATTCCGTGTTATAAGTCAGAATTCCGAGTTATAAGTCAGAATTCCGTGTTATAAGTCAGAATTCCGAGTTATAAGTCAGAATTCCGTGTTATAAGTCAAAATTCTGCGTTATAAGTCAGAATTCCGTGTTATAAGTCAGAATTCCGTGTTATAAGTCAGAATTCCGTGTTATAAGTCAGAATTCTGCGTTGTAAGTCAGAATTCCATGTTATAAGTCAGAATCCCGTGTTATAAGTCAGAATTCCGAGTTATAAGTCAGAATTCCGAGTTATAAATCAAAATTCTGTGTCATAACTATAAGTCGGAATTCCGAGGTATAAGTCAGAATTCTGCGTTATAAGTCAAAATTCCGTGTTATAAATCAGAATTCCGTGTTATAAGTCAGAATTCTGAGTTATAAGTCAGAATTCCGTGTTATAAGTCAGAATTTTGAGTTACAAGTCAGAATTGCGAGTTGTAAGTCAATTAAAGGAAAAGTTTCAGTTTAAATTAAATTTGAACAATACGAGATCTTATTTACAAGTATAAAATGAACAGTCAATTTTTTGGGGAGAACAAATTTAAAAAAATATACCATGTCATGGCATGGCCCTTCAGAGCCACGGTACGTAACAGTTGAACAAGTTTTTCGCCAGTCCCCGGTTATCCCCAGTGTATTCAGATATAGCGGCTGTTATATCCCGGGTCAATTCCCCGGTCATAAAAACATTTAGTTACTTCCACCGCCCTGCGGGCATAGTTCGTAACTTTGTATGTCACTCGCAGGCGTGAAATACGAAAAATAAGCGCATCTACATACATACATACATACATACATACATACATACATCGCCTTTATTTAAAACACGGTAAACCTTCAGTAATAAATATAGTCAGCTCAACATAAATTCATAATATTAAAGTTTAAGATATGTGTAGTTTAGTTATAGGTTGGCATATTGTAATTATGTACCGTACATGCCCCTTAAGTAAAGTATATTTATTTTAAACTGTTTACAATATTTATGGTATATAATGTAACCATGAATGACCACATGACCCCACAATTGGATGAACCCCAACGGCTTCTAAATAGACAATAGATGAAAAGTTTATCAATGTTGAGCTTTATATATGATTCAGTTTAAATACAATAATTAATTAACCTAGCTTTATATAAAATGTACATAATTGTTCTAATAATTGTATTTTGCTTCATACAATGCATATGGTTGTGGAAACATTACATTATTATTCAGCTCACTCTCCATTGGGGCTTTTCAGTGACCGATTACATCAAGTATTATGATTACTTATGTTAGCCTAGACTATTTATCTTTAGATAGATAGATTGATTAATTGATTGAAATCTTTATTTAAACACGGTGGTTTTATCAAATGGAATAAATAATAATTATTTACAATTTGTTCTTCCTAAAAGCCGTTTATAATTTACGATATACGTACATTTTTACATTTTTTTTGGAATTTTTGAAAGAAAAGTGACTATTTACAATTATTCATAGAATAATAACTGACTATGTTGGTGCAGATAGCAGATGTTCTAATCTTTTTATGAACCTTTTTAATGAAGGTTCATGTTTAAGTTCGTCTAGTAAAGAATTCCATAGCTTTGCTCCAGTGAAAGCAAACTTGAATTATAATAATCTGTTCGATTTACCGGAAGCTCGAAATTTAATTTGGATTGACGAAGGCTATAATCATTTAAGCTACTATGAAATGTAAACATTTCCGTTAAATATTCTGGTGCAAGACCATGTACTATTTTATACATCATAATAGCTTTTTGTTTTTCTCGCATTTCTTTTATATTCATCCAGTTTAATTCCGCCAAAATCAACGAAGATGATTTTAATAAGGGTGCTCCCGTAATTATGCGCGCCGCTCTGTTTTGAAGAACTTGCAATTGTTTTTCCAATGTCTCACTTATATTGTCCCAAACAATTGAACAGTAAATAAAATACGGTTCAATTAATGCTCTATACAGAGACACAAGATTTTTCCGACTAAAGAGTTTCTTCACTTTACGGAGGGCTGCAATATTACGGGATACCTTTAAACGGATGCTCTGGATGTGTATTTCCCATGTTAAGTTCTCGTCAATATCGACACCTAAACACTTTACAGATCTAACTTTACTTAATGTCACATTATCAGCCGATAATACTATTGAATCGTCAAGCGCCGATAATTTTTGCCGTGAACCAATTAGCATAAAATCTGTTTTTAGGACGTTTAGCGTCAATTTATTAGAACAAAGCCATTGAAATATGTTGTTTAGATCACTTGTCCTTTGCTCTTGAATTGATTTAATGTTACAACCTGTAAAGGTCATATTTGTGTCGTCGGCAAATAGTCTGGCAATACTATGGTCCAGGCATTTCGGTAAATCATTTATATATAACAAGAATAAGACTGGACCAAGAATGGAGCCCTGTGGTACTCCACATTTGATGAAGTCCTTGTTAGAATAGACTCCATTTACATGGCAGACCTGTTGCCTATCATTCAAATATGATCTAAACCACAATAAACTTTGATCATCGACACCATAGCATGCTAATTTCATCAATAAAATTTCATGGTCAATGGTATCAAATGCTTTTTTTAAATCTAAGAATATGACACCATTAACCATTCCCCTATCAATGTTGAAACACCACTGGTTTGACATATCAAGTAGTGCGGTCAACGTTGAATGGAGTGAACGAAAACCTGATTGTCTTGTATCGATGAGATCATATTCAGTTAAATAACTGTAGAATTGATCATACATTAATCGTTCGAATAGACGAGCTATAGTAGATAAGACTGAAATTGGCTTATAATTATTTGCATCAGCTCTTTGATAGATAGATAGATAGATAGATAGATAGATAGATAGATAGATAGATAGATTGTTTAATAATTCACTTTTTGCAGTACAAATACTGAATTGGTAAGCGATTACAATATAAATAAGACTGAACACAAATGATATTACATTTAAAAATCACAACCAATGCTATGGCTTACTAAGAAGATTATAAATGTTAAAACTAACACTAATTTGTTGAATTACGATTATTTATATCTAAACAACTAGCGATGACATACGAATTCTTAAAACGTTCAGTATAGAATTTCGGAACATGTATCTTCTTGTTGTTACGTAATTGGTAATTTAATGAAGTATCTATTTTAGGGATTAAATTATGAAGTTTATGTTTCGAGTTATTTAATATTTGATTAAAAAGTTTATTGCAGGCAATTTGCCTTCTAGCGAACAATGACTCCATCCCAGCTTCCATCAATGCATCTTCGTAATGTAAGTTCGGATATACAAATGGAAGAACCCGTTTTTGTACTCGTTCAATTTCATCACTCAAGTATTTAGGTAAAGAGTAGTGGAAAACAGTGGAAGAATATTCCAGAATGGGGCGGATACATACGGTATAGAATTGTAAAACATCTTGAATCGCGACTTTTGCTCGTTTCAGCTGCACTAAAAGGTAAATCCTTTTGGAACTTTTTGTCACTATGTTATTGACATGACGATTCCACTTCAAATTGTTCGAGATAGTAAGACCCAGTAATTTTGCTTCTTCCACCACTTGTAATGGTTTACCATTAATTTTAATACGGGGAAAGGGATTTCTATTTTTCGCAAAGTCTATCCGCAATTCTTTGCATTTGTTTTCATTCAACCTGAAAAGGTCTGACTCGGACCACTCTTCAATTTCGGACACTGCATGTTGGATATCACTTGAACCAAATCTGTTTACTGTTTCATATACCGTTAGATCGTCTACGAATTTTACCTCGTCAAAACAACGTGTTTTTAGATCGTTTATCATAAATATAAATAACCACGGACCCAGCTTGGTTCCTTGAGGGACACCAGCTGGGACATTCCCCCCACTCCGAAAAACAGTCGTGTCCCAATTTGGTTCGTTGTTGTCTGTCACTCAGGAAAACTGCAATCCAACTAACAGTGGAACCAGGGATTTCGAGGGATTTCAGTTTAAATAGGACGATGGTGTGGTCTACATAATCGAAAGCTTTTAGGTAATCAACCAAAACAATCCTTACTGAGGCTCTAGCACCGTCTGTTTTCTCTGACCATTTATGAATAATTTTAATAAGCGCCTGGTTTGTTTACAACAATGAGAATATGATACTACTTTCCTAACTGTGTTTATCCTAACCCACCCTGTCAATTTTGCTCTGCGGGAGGAAACCAGTGCAAAATATAAAATTCAATTACCTTGAAAACACCTAAATTGCAATCCCTAAAATTTAAGATTTTTTTCTGAACTCGACTTAAATCGCCTAAAATCGCATTAAATCGCAGTGCTTGAAAGTCCCAGTTTTTCCTTAAATCGCCTAAAATCGCCCAAAATCGCATTATCTCACGGCAATTTAAGGCGATTTACCGACCCAGAGTAGGCCTCGTGACTTTATACATGAGAATTACTTTTTGCATTTTACAGTTAGCATATAAATTATTCCATCCAAGTTCTTCAAGTACAGAGCTAGGTGAAGCATCATAGGAAGAACGTGTTATAACACGTGAAGCTCTATTTTGAGGTTTTTGCAATTTATCACTCAATTTACTACCAATTAATGCCATCCCAAACAGGAGCGCAGTAGGAAAAATATGGCTCAATTAGTCCCTGATATACTCTGGCTGCTGTATCTTGACTAAGCAATCTAGCTGCTGTATTAGTCAGGTCTCTTAAGGTCACGATGTTTACAGAGCTGACAAAAGCACCAAACTTGGCTCAGTTATAGCTTATAATAGTACTATCAATATTGGAAGGGGTGCCCAATGCAAATATTCCTCATAAGCGACTTAAAGGAGATTAAACTTTTGAAAATATCTCGTCTTGGGCTCGCTGTGGTGCTTTTTATATAAGGTGCACTTTATGCCGAAAATCAATCTTACATGTCGTTTTAATGGTCCAAGTAAACTATTTAGTCTGATATCTTTTATTTCTGTTTGTTAAAACCTTTCCAAATGAGAAAAAAGGCTATATTTAGAAATTGCTATGAACAACTAGTACCAGTCCCACTCGCCAATTTGTCATTTCCAAGATGGCGGCTAAATGCATCTTTACGAAAACTGTAAGTATTCAGCCTTTGATATGCAATTATAACAGGTTTTCTTTTTTACAAATCTCTCTAGATAAATCGTTTTATGTTAAAGGATGTTTTTAAAGTGTGTTTGCAAATTGTGTGCTATCAACAATTGTTAAAATTTTCAGAGATGATGGCATTTTCTTGGAGTCATTGCAACATCTGCCAGAAAGATACATCAGAAGAGCTAAGATGCATGTCCATTAAGATCACGTGGAGCAGATAAGAGCGATCCCAGAAGCGTGTATAACTCGTTTCTACAAAATGTTTCTGAGTTCCGTGATTCACTGGATGTAATATTGCCTGTTAGCCTTACGCTGCCGCTCGAGCTAAATGTTGATGCCTTGATCGAAAAAGAAGCTGCGTGGCACAAGTCTTGACATTTACAATTCAGTAAATCTAAACTAAATAAAGCAAAGGAAAGAGCAGTTCGAAAAAGAAAGCAAGATCAAGCAAAGAGAGAGCAGGAGAAACCAAGCAAAACCCGTATACTGTCCTCTAGCATAAAGAAGAGAGACTGCAAAGAGAAGAGAGACTGCAAAGAGAGCAAAGAGAACTGCATATTGTGTGACCAAACTTGTACTGGCTCGCTTCATAATGTCACTACTTTCGCTACTGATGAAAACCTTCGTCGAATGATAACAGAACTACAAGACAACACGCTGTTACCTAAGATTTCTGGGGTTGACCTTATTGCAGCTGAAGCAACATATCACATGAAGTACATGACAAACCTGCGCAACCGCTATAGAAGTCACTTAACAAGAGCACGACAAGAATCATGTAAAGAAGATGAGAAAATGAAGGAATCTCAAGTCTTTATCGAGTTAAACGCATATATCGAGAGTTCTGTCGAGAATGAGAAGTTATTTTTTTTGCTTTCTGAGTTGATTCACTTTATGTAAGTCGGCTTCAAACCCTAGGCGTTCAAAAACAAGTGAATAGAACTAGACTTAAAACCTCGATACTGGAAAACTTCCCAGACGCTCAAGAGCAAAATGATGGAAAGAATGTTGTTATAATTTTCAAGAAAGCCATACAGGGCATTGTGAAAGAGGTGGTACAGCAAAGAGACTTCTCAGAGGAAGCTGTGATTCTAGCTAAGGCTTCAGCAATTGTTCGAAAAGACATTTTTAGTCATGAAGGGTTTAAATTTTCCGGAAGTTTTCCGCAAGACTGCCAAGCGAGATCTGTAGCAGCTAGCCTTAAGTCAATAATGTCAATGATTTTAAGTGAGGTGAACATTAAGAACACCGAGGCGCAAGAATCTCAGCCATGCTTAGCAGTGTGTCAAACCATAATTTTTAATACAAAGGCCAAGGAACGCTCAACTGTTGAGTCAAAAACTGTCCAGTCACCGCATACTAAATCACGCGAACCACCTCTTCCATTATATCTCGGATTTAATGTCCATGCAATGACCAGAAGTAAGACACTAATTGCAAAGTTGTAACAGATGGGACTTTCGGTATCATATCTAAGGATCATGGAATTAGAGGACATGCTTGCTACTTCCACCAATGAGCGCTTTGAAGCGGACGGTTTTGTGGTACCTTCTTGTCAAAAAAAGAGCGTGTTTAGCGTTGGAGCCCTTGATAATTTAGATCATAACCCTAGCTATATGATGGCAGCCTCGTCGTTCCATGGAACAGGCATTAGTCTTTTTCAGTTACCAACAATTAGTAATCCTGGCGAAGAGAGGCCACCAGTGGCGTTACCGCCGCAGGGAACCGGGCATGCTCTCCCAGAGGAATACGCAACTGTTTACCCCGTAGAGTCGAACACTAGCAAGGCACTTGTACCAGCGCGTGATATGAAAGAAATAGTTAGTTGCATGGCTAAAGCGAAACGTAGTGAGGAACAGTGGGTGGTGCATTCTCTCGAAAAACTTGACGAAGAATCAGTAACCTCAGGAGATACATTGGCTTGGGCAGCATTTCATGCTTCGGCCCAGACGGAAGAAGATCCACCTTCTTTGACTGCACTACGCCCTTTGTTCTACGAAAAGGCGGCGAACACAGCGATGGTCAAGCACGGCATGGATGTCATACGGCAGGCAGTTACCTTTCTAAATCCGGGCCAGGTTCCTATCATCACCGTTGACCAGGCCCTGTTTACGCTTGCGAAGATGGTCTAGTTCCAAAGTGGCCGGACTCACATGGAGAGCAGGCGTATGTAGTTATGCTTGGTGGCCTGCATATCGAGATGGCTCTATGGAGTGTGCTTGGCGATTTGCTTGACAGATCTGGCTGGACTGTCGCCTTGACTGAAGCTGATGTGGCCTCTTCTGGTGTAGCGGATTCCTTCTTGAAGGCGTCGCATCTAACAAGAACTAGGTAGGTTGATGTGCTAAACATATTAGATGACCATACAACTATTCACAACCATACAGGTACTGGTTCACTATAAAGCCTGTTTTCCACTCGCGTATTTCGCCGCCGCTGGCGAAAAATTTCGCCACCGAAAAAGTTCATTTGTTGTTCTTTCGCGCCGTCAACGAAAGGTGAAACAGAAGTTGAATATTTTAGGCAAATGTAGCAGGAGAACAAATTTCTTCAGAGGCGACTGAATGTAAAAAATGATTTCTTTGTCAAAATTTTTCGCCGGCGGCGGCGAAATACGTGAGTGGAAAACGGGCTTAAGGATGCTTGCGCTATACTATTCCGTAGCAACCTCGTCCCAGGGCCATGGGAGGCACCTCCAAAATTTCGCGAGTATGGCCCTGGGGACGAGGTTGATGCCATATAGATGAGCGCAATTTATCCTTTCTGAGCGCATTTTATCTCTAGTAGAATGTTCTTTGTCTTGTGGCAATGAAGTAGGCGTACAGGTTATAATGTAACTGGGGGGTTACTTAATTAAGAAAAAATGCGATATATTTTCAGACTTAGATTATTGCACTTCACTTCGTGGAATTAATATTAGGATGTTAGGATTTGTAATCCAGGTGAGAATGTATACATTTTAAGACTTAACCAGGAACGACTGCGACAAATGCAGCACAAGGTCCTCTGGTAGGAATTGAACCTACGGCCCTGCGATTCCGGAACAGCGCTCTAACCAACTGAGCTACAAAGGCCAGCTGTTGAGCTGTAACCGTAAGTTCATGTATATATATAGGTAATCGGGTGTGCGGGTTGTGATAAGGTGGACTTGAATGACTTAGATTATTGCACTTCACTTGGTGGAATTAATATTAGGATGTTAAGGTTTGTAATCCAAGTGAGAACAAACCATAGCATCCTAATATTAATTCCACCAAGTGAAGTGCAATAATCTAAGTCATTCAAGTCCACCTTATCACAACCCGCACACCCGATTACCTATATATACAAGAACTTACGGTCACAGCTCAACAGCTGGCCTCTGTAGCTCAGTTGGTTAGAGCGCTGCACCAGAATCGCAGGGCCGTAGGTTCAATTCCTACCAGAGGACCTTGTGCTGCATTTTTCGCAGTAGTTCCTGGTTAGGTCTTAAAATGTATATATTCTCACTTGGATTACAAACCCTAACATCCTAATATTGATTCCACCAAGTGAAGTGCAATAATCTAAGTCATTCAAGTCCACATTATAACAACCCGCACACCCGATTACCTATATATACATGAACGTACGGTTACCGCTCAACAGCTGTAGCTCAGTTGGTTAGAGCGCTGCACCGGAATCGCATGGCCGTAGGTTTAATTCCTACCAGAGGACCTTGTGCTGCTCACTTGGATTACAAACCCTAACATCCTGATATATTTCAGGCATGCTCATCAAGTCACTGCTCTCCACCCCTACATAAGCTTCAGAGAGATGCATTTTCCGAGTGCGTTGATGAGGCATCGTTCTCTACGTGGGAAGAGGCAAGAAAGCGAATAAGCCCGACGTTTCTCTTCTGAGATGTCATTCTACAGTTGGAGACACTGGTGTTTCTTGTAAAACGCGCACATAGGCAGCGAAACTTCAATTTTTACGTCGAGGCCATGGAAGAGCTGATACCTTTATTCTTTGCACTGGACCACGTCAATTACGCACGCTGGGCCTCCATCCATATTCGTGACCTGAAGTCTCTTCCGGACAACATCGCTATTATAAATAATAATTAACTATATTTTTACAGGTTAACTTGGTCAGCTAGATTAAGCTGCTATAAATCAAGGACCTGTGTTTACAATAAAATTTATATAGATAAAAATTGTAAAGCTTCATATTTACAAAATGTTTCGAATAGTTATTGAGAATAGTGATCAATAAAAAGTGAGATGTCTCTAATTTACGAAGCGTTTCTAACTTTCTAACAGTTAAAAATAATGTTGCATTGTTCTTTAAATCTCAGTAATGATGTTTCTTTTGTTAGACTGTCTGGTAGTTTGTTGTATTGAACTGCTCCTTGGAATGCAAATCGTTTCCGTGCAGTTTCAGTTCTAACTTTTGGCAATAGCAGTTTGTTGTTATCTCAACGGGTGCCTTTTCCATGGGAGTGCCTTTGGAAGTAGCCATCATAGCATTGAGGTGCCAAGCCATTTACACATTTAAACACTTCTATTACACAAGATCTGTTTCGGATTTTTTCCAACTTTGTCCAATTATTTTGGATGTTGTTGCCATAAGCAATTTTGAAAGCTCGTTCTTGTACTTTCTGGAATTTTTCGATCGAGCTGACTGTGTCACCGAGAAATAGATTATTACAGTATAAAAGGATTGGCTCTATCATCGTTTTGTAGATTGACTGCGCAACCAATGGGCTGATGTCGCGTCGTATGCGTGATAGGAGTTTAACTCTTCTCATAGCTTCTTTATATATCTTGTCTTTGTGCTCAACATAGGTTAAGGATTTATCCATTTTAACTCCGAGGTATTGATACTCTTGTACTTCGTTCACTGGTTCGTTTCGAATCATATATAATATCCATTTTCTCGACTTTTGTCAATTTGTTAGGTGTACCTTACAGGATGAATTCGGTTTTTCCTTTTTTTGAGGTTGACGACTAGGTTGTTTTCATAAAACTAGGTGGCCAGTTTTTATAGATCCGAGTTTAAATTTACTTTAATGGTGTCTTGATTTTTACTGGATGTAAAGACCACTGTGTCGTCAGCATATAGTAGGATTTCCAGCTATTCAATTGGTGATCGATGTCATTAATCAATAAGATGAACAGCATAGGTCCTAAGATGGAACCCTGTGGCACACCACAAACGACAGGTTGGCTGTCAGATTGTGTGCCATCGTAGATTACACGTTGACGCCTTCCAAATAAATAGTTCTCAAACCATGTTAGTTCTTTATCTTTAATACCTAGTGAGATAATTTGGACAGTAAACGACCATGATCCAACGTGTCGAATGCTCTCTTCAGATCGATAAAGACCGCGCCACAGTATTCACCTTTGTCCATACAGTCCCTTATATGGTCCGAGAAATAGGTAACTGCCTGCTGAGTCGATCGACCTTTACGAAATCCAAATTGGTTAGGGGAAAGCAGACAGTTTTCTTCCAGATAGATAGATAGATAGCTGTCTGTGAACAACACGTTCAATTATCTTTGCTAATACAGGCAAGACGGAAATTGGTCTATAGTTATCCATTGATGATCGGTCTCCCGACTTAAAAATTGGTATAACATTTGCCAATTTCTCTACATCTGGGAAAATTGACTGTCGTAAGCATAAGTTTATCAAAAGCACAAGTGGGGTGGATAATTCTTGGGAACCGTCTTTAATAAATGATATCGGGATATTATCGTATCCTGGGGCTGTGGATGATCTCAAAGTTTTTATAATAGACATTATATCCCTTTCAGTCACTTCCTTAAATTTAAAAACGCAATGATGTGGGTTTATGAGATCTTGCAGTTTTTGATAGCTGTGGAATTGCCAATGTTTCTCTGTTAATGTGACATAGCATTGTTGAATGGATGTACTAATTCCAGTAAAAAAGTTGCAAAAAGCATTAGCGATCAGATAGCTATCGGATATGTGTTTTCCTTCAACGTCAAACAGCTTGTTTGGGGTTTCCCCCTTATTTCGTGTTGGGTAGCATTTCTTTATTTGATCCCAGAACTGGTTTGGTCTGTTAACGTTCTCACGAAAGACTGAGCGATTATAATTTGCTTTATACTGTCGAATACATTTTGTGACACTATTTCGTGCTTTGCGATAATTACACCAATCACATTCTTTCCCACTCTTTCTGGCTTTTTTTAACAAGTGATCTCGCTCATTCATTTTCTCTTTTATTTCATGGGTTAACCATGTAGAAATTTCAAGACTTTAGCTAAAAGGGAAATATTGGAAAAACTACAAACATAATTGCCGATAATTTGCCGTTTTGCAGTTGTTTTTGTATTTTTTAAATATTTTTCTTTTAGCTGAAGTCTTGAAATTTCCACACCGAATAGCAATTTTCAATAGCTTCAATTTGATATATAGCCCGACGTTTGGGATCAAGTATTTCTGCTCATAACTCAGAAAAACTATTTTGGCTTCATCAAATCATAGGCCTTCATCATAGCAGTTAGCCTTCCAGTTTATTTATAGTTCAATGGGCCAGACAGCATCAATTGCCGAATATATTTCGCTGAAATTTGAACTTCTGACAGAGTGACAGATGTTTCTCTTTAAGAAAACAAAACTCAGAAGACAGAAAATTTGATATAATACTGTGGCTTAGAAAGCGAAATATTAGTTTCAAAGTAAACTAATTTGCTGTTTGCTGTTTGACTTCTGAATCTATAAAACACAACACAAATAAATAAAATACCCGAGAAAGTTTTATATGGGCCGAGATGAATTTTCAATTCGTCCAAACTTCGAAACCTTTATACATCTAACTTCGCTATACTTTTCTACATGACAACGAGGGCTTAATCTTTTAGAATTTTTCGTCGAAGCCATGGCATATAGGAAGTATTTAATAGCAAGATTTGGACATTATCCTGATATATGTACTTGTTCTCGGGTTTCCCGATTGCTTCAATAGTAATTGTTAACAAAATTTAAAATTTCGCTTATTGCATAGCTCTTGTATTTTATACACCGGCTGTTTGCAGAACACGCGTCGAGAAGATGATCACAACATTATTCTACGTAAATATCGTGAAGTTCAAGACTATAGTTTGCAAATATCTCCACGCAAGTAAACAAATTTCAACCCAACCAGACGGGCTTTCCCCAGTAGCTAATCTCATAACACTAATCACGCAGTAAGAAGGCTTCCAATTGGATTTAACTCGTTTTAACACTGCCAGATGATTGGCTCCTAAAACAAAGGGAATGGAATGTGCAGCTCGTTTCAGCAGACGTTAGTTAGCGAGGGTTAGAGCTATAAGAATGTCTGCGAGGGAGACAAATCCACACCGGGGAAGCTAAAAAGTTAGCTCGGTCACGGTGGGAATCGAACCCGCGACCTTTGGGATCCTAGTTCAATACTCTATCAACTGAGCTACGTGGTCAAGTCGGTTCGAGTCAATGATATTTCGGAACTGACTCTAGTTCGTTCGATATCAGTGTATTCGATCATATGTATTCTAAATGATCATATCATAGAATACACAAATATCGAAGGAACTAGCCTCAGTTCCGAAATGTCATCAACTCGAACCGACTTTATAACACTAACGTACTTGCAGGCAGGTGAGTCCGGGATTGGAAGCACCGAGGGTGGCTGGAAGTTTCCCGAACTTACCGAGCGAAGCGAGGTGAGTTCGGGAAACTTTCAGCCACCCGAGGTGCGTCCAATCCCGGACTCATCGAACCTGCAAGTATGTTTGGTTTTTGTCCCATGCACCGAGCCATACAAATTACACACATTTGTAGCTCTTTGCGATATATTCGTCGATGTTTTGTGAACATTTTCCCGGCCAAAAAAATCACTGGGCAAGAAAATACTTCTTTATCTACGTCTACATTACCTTTACTGCATTTTTTCTTTGGTGTTTCTTCAGTCTCAGTATGTTAGTCACCGAAAAAAGTTCTTTAAAGTTTAGGTTTATCGGCTAAATCTTGTCCGCCATATTTGTTATTGTTATTGCAACGTAAGCAGTTTAGCGGGCGAGTTCGGGCGAAAAGCAGGTGAGTTCGGCAAAAAGCAGGTGAGCTCGACAACAAGCTCACCTGCTCTAAACCAATCAGAAAGCCGCTTTTAACACAGCTATGGGATAAGACCAGGTACTGTAGCTCAGTTGGCAGAGCCAATGACTATAGTGTCCCAAAGGTCGCGGGTTCGATTCCTATCGTGGCCAAGCTAACTTTCCAGCTTGCCCGGTGTGGATGCACACTCAAGGTAACATCACAAACATCATATTCACTTGAGTACATAACACTAACACACACAAAATAATTATATTATCGGTGTTTAAAAACACGCTATAAAAGACATTGTGGGACAGTTGACAATTTACCGCGTTTTACCGTCGCCACTTTGTCTACGTCTTATACAATTACTACATTATTTTCTCTTTTTTTACTACAAGAAATATTTATCAACATCAGTTATTCTCTGTAATTAAATGGCTATCGTGACACAAACAGAAATAAATTTGATAAAGTTGATATTCCGAACTGGAAGGCATCTTAATTGCAAACAGGTGCCATCTGCTATCAGAAAACGAATAAGTGTTCAGAGGACGTAGAAGACGCATTACTTAATTGCAGAATTTACAGTCAAGGCACATGCAGCCGTTCTTCTGAATATACTATCGTATTACTTCCAAGCTAGCGCGCGTTATATCGTGAAAGATGGAACAAATTGTTAGCGCGGCACTTTTTGGGATCATTTCAGTTGTCTCTTTAACAGGCAATATCCTTGTGGTTGTTTTGTTTATAAAGAGACCAGACAGGCTTAAGAACGCCCATACATGTCTTTTACTGGCGCTGGCTATTCAGGATATTGTAATAGCCATCAACCTGATGGTGTTACCTGGATTTGCTTTGCCAGCAGACGTTTACGACTTTCCTACACATTCGAAATTGAGAGAACTTTATTGTTCGTTGGTATGGTCATGGTATGTTCCATTCGCTTTATCCGTTGCATCTATCTATACGTGTCTTATGTTGGCTATAGATCGCTTACTTGCCGTTTGGAAACCTTTGACTTACAAACACTTCTGTAGCTCCGCAAAGGTTATTGCAACCATGGTAATTCTTCCCTGGATTGCAGGCTTCGGAATTGAAACAAGAACGGCGTTAAATACTCAAAGTTCAAGGAAAGATAACGGGTCTTGTGTGTGCAAGCGGGTGCAGGTCGACGGATCACCTGAAAATATAATGGCCACTTTGTTGACATTTATTGCAAAGGGTCTTCTAGCCCAGGTGCTGATGACTATAGCCTATGGGAAAATGGTGATCACCATAAAGCAATCTTCCTTAAGAGTGTGGTGCAACACAAGTGGTTCAATTCATCTTAGTCGTCAGGAAATTAAACGCTATCTGACATTGAGAAGGATCACGCGAATGATTTGCGCGGCCTCTGCTCTTGTGGTAATTTGTTGGCTACCCGATCAAATATATTTTTGCCTTTTTGAATTGAATTTCATACAAATGGACAATTCTCTTCACAACGGATTGCATATATTGGCATTTTTAAACACCAGCCTCAATCCTGTCATTTACCTCTTCTCCAATAAGCAATATAAGGATGAGTTTAAAATTATTTTGTGTTCCTTGTTTCGTCGAAATGCATGCACAAAGACTAAATATATACCTGCATGTACACATCGTAATAGACAACAAAGGAGTGAGCTTTAGCTATGTATTTGAGAGTAATACGATACAGTAGTCTGAGTCTTTATTATAGCCCAGTGACTCACTTTGTGTTATGTACGAGTGAGCGGTGGAAATGTATCAA